ATAAATTTTTTATCTAGTACGCTTTGTTAAAAAGATACAGGGTGTCAAACTTAAAAAAATATGTTTAATTTATTTTTTTAAATAATTTAAAAACTAGTAAGTAAAATAATTTGAAATTGAACACATGCATTTATGTAAACATTGTCCAAAATCTAAGGCCTTTTTCTATCATTTAGATGCTCCAGTGGCGCAGATACAGGGTATTGGTGGCACATTTTTTAAAATAAAATAGTATGCCACTGCATTAGGGCAACAATCATGATATTTTCGGATTCTTCTTTCAATTTTCTACAAATTACTACTTTCTTATATTTTTCGAAAAAAATCCTGATTTTCGAGTAAAACTTAAAAAACGAACTAAAAACACTTTTACTTAAATGACACGACAAACACTAATCATTCGGTTATTTAATCGAATAAAGAAATTAATAACATTAGTCATCATTTTAATGAATTTATATGAGTAAATGCTCAAAAAAACCTCAATTTCCACGAATACAGGCGCGACATTCTTTTCGTAGGCAACGAAAATGTAATTTGTTCGAAATTTACTGTTGTTTGAATCAAATGAAAAGCATTATTTATTCTTTATTGTATACCAGTTGTTTAACAGCACCCCACAAAAAGAAATCCAGTGGGTTGAGGTCCGGTGTATTCAGTTAGTTTTTTAAGTTTTAGTCGAAAATCAGGTTTTTTTTCGAAAAACATAAGAGTAGTAAATTGTAGAAAATTAAAAGACAAATCCGAAAATATCACGATTGTTACCGTAAATCAGTGGCGTACTATTTTGTTTAGAAAAAAAATGCTATCGATACCCTGTATCTCCGTCACTGGACCATCTAAATTTTTGGAAAAGGCTTCAGATTTTGGACAATGTTTACATAATGTGTCCAATTTCAAATTATTTCACTTACTAGTTTTTAAATTATCCAAAAAAATTAAAAATATTTTATGAAGGTTAACACCCTCCTGTATATCTTTTTAACGGAGCGTCCTAGATGAAAACTTTATAGGAAAGATTCCCCTTAAAATTCACGAAAAAATACGAGGCTTCATTTTTGATCACCATTTGTGAATCACCCTGTATACAGAATTAATTGAAAAAGAAACAACTCTAGGAATAACATCACTTCAATAACGTGTGAGAATTAATGAATTTGATCTCAAAAGTCTGAAGTAATGGAGCATTTTTACAGTCAGTTCAAAAAACTACATCAATAACACTATCAGATTAAAAAGAGCCTAGTGGTGTTGTGTAATTTTTTATGAATAAAAATAAAGAAAAATCTACAAAAACCATAATTTTGTTAGATAGCAATTCATAAATATAAGAAAAATCCAAACTTTAGTTTTATCCATTTTGAACTAAGATAAATCCCATTTAATAGTATGTACAACAATAAAGGTGAATTAATATTTAAATATTTATTAGCTCATACCATAGATGCACTGTAATTGTAATAAAATTGTCTGTGTTGAAAATAATTTAAAAAAGTTGAACAAAAGACGTCGCCAGCCAATGGGCCAGTGGGGGGCAAGATAAAAGAGAGAATGAAAGAAATATAAATTGTAGTTACAAATAGGTACAATGATTTAAGTTATTGTAGAAATATTTTTAATAAAACCTTTTTAATACAAGAAAAATGTATAAAAAAAATTATGAATAATTTATAATTTCTTAAATCTATGGGTACCTACAAAATTAAAAACGTTTTGCTTTCCCTACAAAATACATGGTCTTCAAAATTGGTTCGTTACACATACAGGGTGTTACTTAAGTAGAGGTCAAAAATCCAGGGGCGTATTTTGTGGTCAAAAATAAGAGTTATTTAAAAAATCTGGTTTTAATTTTTAATAACTGCTTGAGATAATTTAACGAAATTCGGTGTGCATATTTAGTATGTAGTAGGTAGGATTTAGTATGTAGTAGGTATGAAACAAAAACGGTATGAAAAAAAAAATACCAGCTTGACCAGTCAGTGGTGAAGATGTGGGTATCATCGAACATTATTTGCAAAAAATATATCACCCTGTATAATATTACAAATAAAATAGGTGATCATATGCGCCATTGTATTATCTTCACTTTTTGTTTCTTTTACACTTTCTTGTATTCGAAACCGATTAACAACAAAATTGACTCATTTGCTCAAGTGCATTTTTACGATACTCATTACATACTTAAAATAATAACAAAATAATTAATTTTGATCTCTACTTAAGGAACACCCTGTATAGTTAAACTTTTATTCTGATTCCGATAGATATATATTTTTTTCTTTTTTATTTAACATTCAAGTGCAAAATTTTTAAAATATGGAAGCATATTAGGTATTTCTTAACGTAAAATTTAACATTTTGAAATATTTTTTCTCAAACAAATAACTATTTATACTAATTTACTACCATTTTTTTTTAATATAGTGTTTTAATTTTCAAAATTAAAGTTTAACTAAATAAAATATTTTAATAAAAATTTCCAATGTTTTCTTGGTTTAAGGGCCCCATATTCTTTAAATAGTGTTTTCCGCAAAGACTAATAATTTCAAACATTTAATAACTGAATAATCTAAAGCTTATCAAATAATAGGAATGTTATGTCATGCCACCTGAGTATTTTCAAAGACGCCGCAGTAAAACGAATAAACAGGTGCAAAAAACGATCAAACCATCAAGGTTTTAGGTACTGAAATCTACGAAAATACTAACTTTTTTATATACAACTCCACATGTAAATATTCTTATAACATTTACTTGCTTAGTCCTACATATAAAATTGTTTACTTTTATTTATAAGTACGTGAAAATAATTCTTAAAATGTGGGGTTAGGATAACAGCAAACGCATGTTTTACAAACGCTTTTTTTT